GATTTATATGGAAATCAAGGATTTTAAATTAAAGAGAAAAGACGAACATTTTTTCTTGTATTGGGGATGGGATTGGTGTTATTTTTTCGAACGGGTTTAAAATATTAGTTCTGTAATTGTATTGTGTTGAACAAAACCACACTTAGAGAATTGCATCCCAGCAAAACATTCATTATAGATCGGATGACAAAATAATTTTTAACAATGACCGCAAATTAGTCTGACCACAAATTTGTCTGGAAATAAATACTTATTTTTTGGATACTAGAGAGATTAACTGCTTATTTCCGATGAAAGAAAAACTAAATAAGGCCTGGCTTAAAATCCTCACCTTCCAATGATTAGTTTTTTTTTTTGCTGGGATTTGTTTTCCACTTCTCCAAATTACCATGGCCCAGCAATAAATGATTTTCCAAATCCATTTTTATTAATGTTCCCTTAAGTTACGCTATCATATCTCATTGTAATAGGATATGTTGGAAATAAATAAAATTTGTTGTTGGTGGTTTTTGTAGATAGATAGCCATTCAGTCCCTTGAAGTAATTGCTGGCATGGCTGGCTTTCTTGCTGTCTGCTTGTGCTTGTGCTACTGCATTACTTAATTACTTATTTAATTGCGTTGAGAAGATAAAGTCTGGTAAACAATAAACTCTCAATTGAAACGCATTTGTTGCTATTGTCGATAACAATTATTCGAAGCAATCATTCGAAACCATTGTAGAAATTAAATTTATTATTATTGCAAAATAAGCATGCACAGGGGGTTTTAGAGGTTGTTTTGGATCTTTGCATTATCTCTGTTAATTTAATTTTACAGAAGAGGCTAAGAGGATTTATGTCTGCAAGGACGACAGAAAAGCTCAAACACGTTTTCTTAATTTCCTTGAGAGGGTTTCTAGGAAGTGTTTCCAATTTTTAGGCGAACACTATATTTTTTTAAATAGATTAATGAAAAGTCACTCTGGGGCCTAACAGTTTAGAAAAATCCTTGTCTCTTTCCGCTTTTAAAGAAAATGTCTTTTAAAATACAGATTATTTAGAGCAGACCTGCTAAATCGAATGACTTTTGGCTAAAATGCGGAAATGCCAGATTTCTGATTAAGATAAATATTTAGATATGGGAAGTCGTATAGAATCGCCGAATTGTTCCGCAAGTTATGACAGATATAAGTATTGGAAATTTCGATCCTTTGTGTGTGAGATACCAGAAGTGGTTGACAAATATCTATCATCTTCACAACCGAATGGATGTTTGAAGTTTGAAGATAGTTGGATGCTTATTTCGCGTTTTATGAGCGATTTTTTTTTTTCAAAAATTTAAACCTTTTGTACAAGAAGGAGTTCACCGATTTTCACAGCAGATCTTGTGTTAGTAAAAATAATGGCATACCTGAAATTTGTAGAGAACCGGATGATTATTTCGGATTTTATCATCGTTTTGGTTATTCAAATTTTGACTCTTTGTGGGGTAGGTACCAGAAGGAATGGTCCGATATCTACCATCTTTATAGCATATCTTGCGTTGTTGGAAATATTGAAATGTACCAAGTCTGATTGGAATCGAATGGTAATTTCACGTTTTGTGAGCTTCATGTATATTTAAAATTTATACCCCTTTTCGGGGTTATACAAGAAGGAGTGGACCGATATATTCCATCTTCACACCAGACCTTGGCTTAATAAAAATATTGTGATGTGCGTAATTTGAAGACAATCGGGCTGATACAAATATTAGGATTTGCAAAGATGGAGCAAAATTGGATTATCCTTTCTCTCTCTGCAGTAAAATATTTTTTTTTTTTTGAAAATGTCGAACTTTTGTGGGGGAGGTACCAGAAGGAGTGGACTGATATTGCCCATCAAAGAACTCGATCTATGTTTGATTATAATATTACGATTTACCAAGTTTGGACCAAATCGGATACTCCCTTCAAGAGTGGTCGAGCGCACCAGACAGACGGACTGACATCGCTAGATCGACTCCAAATGTCCTGAAACGGATTGATCTAAGACCGTTATTTCGATGAGACACGTTTTGGCCGTATCAAATGATATATAAAAAAATTTGATTTAACCCCTCACCAATTTAGGATCTATACGTTCATTTCTCGAAACGGATTATAGGAAATCAAACAAACATTCAGGAAGGACATACCGGAAGTCCATAAAAATTACTTATATCTCAAAAAGTCGAAAACGACATATAGAACACTTAAGCATGACAATGATGATATGTAATATCTGGCTATTATAATAGAGTTCGATTATACCCCTCTCTGTGGCCATTTTGTCATTTTGATTTGATACCAAGATATCAACCATTTGACTCACAACACACACACACACCCATACACATATGTAGATATTTGCAGTGGGCACATGGGATAGTTTAATGTTTGCACACATCTTGCCACATGTTAAGCCACTGGCTTCAATTGGCCATAAACTATTTCCAAATTAAACGGAAGTACCACAACTAAATCCATTTGTGCAAATTATCCATAGAATAATAAACAATTTATTGATGGTCTAACCTAAATTTCATCTCTATTTACATAATTAATAAACAAATGACAATTTGAGAGTTGGTCATGGACATGGACACGGACACGACCAAACAAACACAAACACAATCTCTCTCTATCTCTGTGTCTCTATGGCATATTTGCTAAATAACCACATACAATCACAAGCACATGCCTGTGTAGGTGTGCGTGTGCATGTTAAAAGGCCGACAGACAGACAGACAAACTAAGGATAATTTATGGATAGTTTATATGGAATCGCACACAAACACACACACAGACACACAAACATCCATTCGTTGGCACGCAAACATTGATGCTCACACGCCTACATTGTTCAAACACACAACTTTATAATTAATAATACAATGCAAAAAAAAAAAAAAAAAAAAAAACACAGAATAAACTAGAGTAACAAATGATAAGAGCTAAATTATACACACATGCCAGGGACAAGGACGGCGCAAAGGGGCGGCAGCTCGAATGGAAATAGGAGTGACAGCATTCGTTTACATTATTCTCCAATTACGTAAACGCTCGACAATGGGGTATTTTAAAATTTAAATTAATTGCCGTAACTTAATACAATCGACAATAATGTAAATAATTAAAATGTTTTTCATTTTCCAAACGCATTCACACATACACATGCACACACACACACACGGATGCAGGCATTGACTCGACAGATAGCTGGTTGATTACATTATTGGAGTAGAGTATGGAGATTGAATTAGAGAGTTGTTGTTGGGGGTGAGGGGTCAATGGCCTGTCATGTTAGAGACGTTTTGACATGTTTGTGAATTTAGAAAATTTAGGGTTATTTTTTGTAGAGATTAGGATAATTCTCGAATTAGACTAGAAAGTGCATTGTACCGAATTCCTTAGAAATACCACAATATACACTGGGGATATACAGGGTGAGATAAAAAAACGGCAGCATAATCAAACGCCATAATTTTTCAATTTTTTAATTTTATTGAATGTAAGCAAAAAATGTCGGAAATAGCATCGAATTTTAGAATAAGTTTAGATTTTTTCGAAATGGTCACCTTTGGCACAAATTATGGCCTTCAAACGGCCAATGAAATCGTCACACACTGGCCGAATATCGACACTTTGGTATTTTTTAGTGCCAACCTTGATTTCCAAAATATTCCAGACACAATAGTCCAACGGATTGTTATCCTGAGATTTTGGTGGCCATTGTGCGCTGGAAATGAAGCGAGGAGCCTAATTTTGTGCGATGGTGCTAAGTCCTGTTGGAATGTCCAAGGTCTGCGGCTAAAATGTTTGCGTGCCCAAGGTTTGCATACACCCTCCAGAATATTTTCGCGATAATATTCTGCATTTATTCTGATGCCACGGTCGGTTAATACGAGCGGAGATCAACCATAGGCTGTTATGGCGGCCCACACCATTCTCATGGCCGGCGCTTGAGTTCTGGTGGCCAACCGAAGGAGCACATATTCGGCTGACTTCATCTTTTGACGTCTGGCTACGCTACCAGTGTCACTGTAACGAGCGATGGTACGAGACACAAAATATTTATTCACATTTCTGAATAAATGCTGGAGTGCTCTAACGATAACCCCTTGTTATTTTTCAGCCAAATATAAAGAAATCACACTATCACGCTTGAATTCCATTACGAATAACTTTGTTTCTGGAAAATTCTCACCAAAATGCTTTGGTACGCTTGTAAACAATATAATGAGCTGTCACTGGAATAATTTTAACAGCTGTCGGTCGAGTGGTTTAGAAATGACAGCAGTCTGAAATTGGTTGCAGTTTTTTCATCTCACCCTGTGTTTAAGTCTCTCATATTCGCATATGCAGGATATTCCAATTTCAGATTTATTATGCAACTAATGGCTAATATCAGACCAAACTTAGTGAATTTCAGGACGTACGTTTTCATTTGTGGAACTAGGCTCCGATATATATTTCTTAAATGTAATCCTTCTCGAAGTGATATACCGCACTTAAGATTAAAATGTCTCAGTCAAATTTAGTGAAAATAAACTCAGAATTGGAAATACCTCCAATATATTAGTTCGCTCTGAGACCAAATTATATCTGCTCTAAAGACAAAGGTTGATAGGTGGTATGATCTGCTTCAAATAAATTCCCAATATAAATTCTTTTGTTACGGGAGCTGTACTAAATATACATAGTGGTGTGGGGTATCGTATGGTCGGCCCCGCCCGACTTTTGACTTTTCTTTACTGGTTAATGATATGTAGAATCGTACATTGGTAAAAATTAATACCGAACCTAGTTGTAACAATTACAAAATTATATATTAATAAAAACAGTTTAATTTTTTCACATCTTTGATTTCAAATCAAACTGCAGCAAAACAATGAGGTGGACCAAAGCGAAAAAAAAATATCTGAAGCAGGTGGCTTTGTTGAGGGGAAATAGTCCGTAAATGTTGAATTGCAACTTGTGACAGGCCAAATATTGGTGGAATTGTGTTATCTGCAATGAGAGAGAAGTTAATTGGCCTAATCCGGTGTCTATTAAAATTCCCTCTTAACTTGCCATTTTCAAGAATTGACTCGGCTGATGGAGGTGACCTCTCTCCCCTTTCTCATTGGCATAGATTCGTAATACTTCATTTGTTTGATTGCAGGACGAGAGAATACCATCGATGGCTTTCATTGTCAACGTTGTATCCCAATAGAATAATACAATGGTCATGGTGCCAATTAGGTCTTGGGTATTATCCGATTCTATGCTGCCATTGGTAAACTGTACCGCATGATAGAGTAGCGCTATGTTGGTGGTGAAAATTTTTATCATCCAGAAGAAGGTTATGTCCTGCCATATCCTCAAGATTCTCTGTGACAGATGATAACATTCGTAGTGCATATTATACAGGGTCCAATAGCTCCAAAATAGTTCTCCACGAGTAATCCTCTGCGATGTATGTTCGAGGACCTTGTTGATAAAGACAAAATGCAAATGCATTCGAAATAAAATTAAATCAAATGTCACATTGACTTGCAGCAAAAATTGACTTTGCAAAAAATTAACCAGAATCATAAGCACATATGCCCAGCTACGCTCCTTTTGCATTCGAATGAAGAGAATGGACATTATAATGGCATTGGAATGACAAACGCAAAATTTGTAAATTGTATTTGTCCTCACAGTGGCCAGTTCTTGCTGCATGTACGGCTCCATATCGTGGTACGTACAAAAATGCTGGTATTTCCTAACAAATTTCCAATAGTCCTCATAAAGTCGTATCATCCGTCCACGCTTAAACCAAATCTCCAGACTCATAACAATGTTGACTAGAATCCGTGCCGTCTTGCCAATCTGATAGGTCCACCTCGAGATGAATTTCCTATTCATGTAATAGTCTTCCTGTTCTTCTCTGCTGGCCATGAAGGGCGTGGCCATTGGTGTCAGCAGCATAAAGACACATTGAATTATGATACTGTAGACTATGTAGATTTTTGGAGATTTTAAATGTTGAGTATCTTTGTTATATACTCCAGGCATCAGACCCAATACCAAGGCGTGATAATAATTGATCCACCAAACCATTTTCTCAAGTCGTTCATTTATGCGAAGTGTCATTTCCTGGTGGTTGTTATTTGAATGACCTTTTCTTGAGTACTGTTCTGCAATTGAACTACGAACTATCTTCTTTTTTGAGCGGCACTTGGCACTGTGCAATAAAAAATTGCTGTAAAAGTGAAAATCTTAAAAAAATTATTTCATCTAATTTCTGTTTTCATTCATCAGTTTATTCGAAATGGTATTATCGGCAACGTTTTCATTCGAACATAGAACCCTAGGAATTTGTTGGCTTTTTCGTGTTGCTCTGTGTAAATGTTATCGGATTCAGTTTGTATGTGTGCTTCATAAATTATTCCATCGACAGGCCATAATACAAGGGACATTCTAATCCCCATGACAATTTCATGATTAAATTGTTCGAGGTATTTGAGTAAATAAATAGAATTTGTAAATTAATTTAATTATTGTACACTAACAAGGCAAACGACTGGGGACAGGAGTTGGAGATATCTAAATGAGTAAACTGTTTAAATAAATATTTGAACAATATACACATTTTAGGGCATACTAATTTTGTCATTCCGTTGGCAAAACCTTGAAATATTCGTCGAGGAGTCTATAGAGAATGCAACGTTACTTCAGTACCCAAAAGACTATATTAATATATTCCTTGAATAATGTTGCTAATATCATAAACATACCGAATAAAGGGATGTACCGCTATATGTGAGCTATGTGATGACGTGGACCAATATAGACAATTCTCTCCCAGGGAGTAAAGTACTCAGAATGAACTCCTTGTGTGGATTTTGCGACAATTCCATTGAAAATGTGGCTAAAATCGTCAAAGTACCAAATATATGAGGGGACCGATATAGCCCATCTTTGAAATTGACCTGCCTGCAGACGAAAGACTGTTCTGTGCAAAAAAATTAATGCGATTTGACCCTAGCGTATTTCAACGGATGGACGGATATTGCTATACAGGGTGAGATGAAAAAACTGCAACAAGCTTCAGACTGTCATTTCTAAATCAATCGTCCGACAGCTGTTAAAATTATTCCAGTGATAGCTCATTCTATTGTTTACGAGCGTACAAAAGCATTTTGGTGAGAATTTTCCAGAAAAAAGGCATTCGTGATGGAATTCTAGGAATAGGAATTCTATTTGGCTGGAAAACCACAAGCGGCCTTCGTTAGAGCACTCCAGTATTTAAATGTGAATAAATCTTTTGTGTCTCGTACCATCGCTCGTTACCGTGATACTGGTAGCGTAGCCCGACGTCAAGGAAGTGGACGAAAGAAAACAGCAACATCATCAGAAATGGTTCAAGAAGTAAAAAAGCGACTTGATCGAAACCCGCGTCGCTGTGGCCGAAAAATGGCTCGTGAGCTGAAAATATCGCAATATTCCATTCGACAAATATTGAAAAATGAGCTCGGGGTTAAGCCATTGAAATTCCAAAAAGTGCAAGAACTTACACCTCTGCAGAAAGAAAATAGACTCCAAAGGGCTAAAGAGTTGCTTCGCTTGGCCGAAAGTTGTGAACTTCCGAAGCTGAATTTGGTATTCTCCATGCCTTGTCCAGCAGTTTGTAAACAAACAAAATGATCGTGTATACTTGCCAAAGAGGTCAGCTGAAAATGAGCACCTTCGGTTGGCCACCAGAACTCAAGCGCCGGCCATGGTGATTGTGTGAGCCGCCATAGCATAAGCACCATCGCACTCAGTACACGCCACCCAATAATGGTTACAAAATGAGATTCCTCGCTTCATTTCCAGCGCACAATGGCCACCAAAATCTCCGGATGCCAATCCGTTGGACTATTGTGTCTGGAGCATTTTGGAAAGCAAGGTTGGCACAAAAGAATTCTAAAGTGTCGATCACCTCAAGCAAGCGCTTCGCTGGGATTGGACCAAAATACCGCAGGGCAACATTCGGGCAGCGGGTGACGGTTTCATTGGTCATTTGAAGGCCATATTTCGTGCCAAAGGTGACCAATTCGAACAAATCTAAATTTATTTTAAAATTTGATAGTAACTCCGATATTTTTGCTTTCATTCAATAGAATTTGAAAAAATGTAAAAATTATGGCGTTTGACTTTGTTGCAGTTTTTTTATGTCACTCTGTATATCTATATTACGAAACCTCCTGTTTTGGGGGTTATATCCACAATTTTCAATTCTAACTTAACATAGATTTCATAATTTATAATTCTTGCTAATATGAAATGTCCCCCTTAGCTTATCAAAATGTTTTTTTATACATTACCTCAAACTCCCTATTTGTTCCAATTGAAACACATTGTGGGATCTCTGATGTTCAGGTATATTTTTTTTAATTTCTTTTTATTATTTTTTATATATATATCTTCAATAATTTGTTTGGGGGTTTTGGTTTTCCTTTCTTTGTTTTTTTGTTGTTTTCTTATTATTCTTCTTCTTTGTTTGTCTAAATGCGTACAATCTTACATTTACAAATAATTACTATGGTAATTATCTCAATAATCATAATAATTATCTTACATTGCTAGTTGCATTTGCGTTTAAAACTACGTGTACAATCATAATCATTGGCATCTTCTCTAAATTGAAGAGCTCGGCTGTGAGTTTTGGGGGGTCATTCAATCCATGGTTACTCGTTTGTTTTGTATATTTGTTTTTTTTTTTACATCAACTTGTGAGGTTTTATTTTTGTTTTTGTTTTTTGCCTGACAATTTCCAATTTACACAACTGCTTGGGGAATGGTGGAGGGGGCGTGCGGGGCCAAAAGTATTATTTATTGTTGCTGCTCTATAATTTCCCATATAAATTCATAAAATATTTATTCTCTTTCATCGATTTCGTTTTACTCTATATCTTCGCGTTTATGTGCAAAAAATATGGCATTCTTTAGAATTTCTTTCCATGTTTTCATTTTCGTCTTTTTTTTTCTTTTCATTAAAGTTTATTTGTTGCTTGTTATCTATTGTATTGATTTCATTTATTGGATTTTGTCTTCTGAGCGGGTACTGTGGTGTCTACTACTTCACACTCACATCACGTTCTGTTCTTGAAATTGTTTGCTGGGTGAAGTGAAGAATCTTTGAGTTTTTTAAAGACAGACATTGATTATTGTAAATTAATTAATAATTACTTTTAACTTTTTAAAAGTTAATATTTTGTGGTCTGGTATTGGCTGGCGCCTTCTAACTTCGCCTTAGACCTTGTTTCTTAAAAAGGGGAATCTTTCTATTTTATTTTCTGGTGGCAAACAAAGGCAGTATCTTGTTTTGTTTAGAGAATAACAAAAATTACATTAAAAATTTAAAATTCCATTTTTATAGGATAATGTCGGGTTGGATTAAAGAGTTTTTCGTTTTATTTCCCCGATTTGTTTTAATAGTATAATTGCTATTGTTTCAATTCAATTCAAACTATTTACTAAATAACTTTATTAGTTGTGTATAAGAAGGTGTTTGTGTGTGTGTATTTATTTTCTTTTCTTTGTGTTTGTATAGTTCTATTTTTTTTTGGTTTTTGTTCAAGAAAAGTTCAACAAATTCGTGTAAATGACAAGTGTCTGCTTATTTTTCGTTTCTCTCTCTCAAGATAACTCTCTCTATCTCCAATACTCGTTCAATAACTACTCGTCACTTCCTTGTGCTTGGACCCTCGACACATCAAACGTAATATGAGAACTATTAAAACGATTATCGATACTAGAATGGCGGAAAAGAAGGCAATTTCTCCAACAGTCATGGCCCGGCGCTGGTACTTCTTCACACACAAAATAGCCGACTCGTCGTCTAGGAGTTTACTGCTCAAATGCTGTGGCTGGTCCTTGTGAATGTGCCACAAATCCAGTTGCTCCAAATTCCATTGCAAATGCTGGGTAAGGTCTTCCAGTTGGGAGGTGGTGTGGCTGACATTGGGACAATTTTGTATGCCATCGCAGACGAAACGTTGAGGCAGGCAAATATTCGGATTACCAGGGCACTTGAAGCTACACTCATTGTCCTGTAGCAGTGAAGCAGCCAGGCTGCCATCCGGATTACGTGGCAAATGGAATAATTCGGTCCACACCAAACGGAAAATGTTCTTGCCTGGTTGGCCATCTCCGGTGTATTGTATGAGTACCGGCAATGGTTCTTGGTCCGAACCCAAAGCTCCCAAATCGGCAGTTGAGAGTATGGGTAAATCCCGAGCCAAGGATACGTTTTCGGGGCATATAATAAATCGTGGTTCCAATCGTCCAGCCAAGTAAACCTCAATCTTGGCGCTGTCGCAGGTGCGATCACCAAAACGTGCCTTTTCCAAATTGAGCCAAAGATCCCTTTGGGAGGCCACCTTTAGTTCCCAGATGCATTTCTCCCGCCTATAGTGATGTTCCGGCTGGGCAGCCATGGGGCCCGTCACCAGGGCCAATGCCTTTTTGTAGGGATATACCAATTCGCCATCCGGCGAGGGACCCAACGTAATGGGCCCACACAACGGACCATGGGCAAATTCATACGAAGCCTCAAACAGGGGATTGGGATTCTTGAAGTACGAAGTTATGGCATGTTGGCCCTGTACAATCATTTCCAAGTTCATTTGATCCGCTGAGGAGATGACTCGCACCGGTCTTGGTATATTGTCACAGAAGCAGGCCAAATTGTTTTGGAATTTCTCACGCTCCTCCCAAATGACCAGCTTATCTACTCGCTCCTCATGGCAGCGTGTGCAGGCATTGTTGTTGTAGGGTAATTCCTTGAACATTACCGAACTTACTTCGATCACAGCTCGGGCATACAGCCGACGATCGGTTACAAATTTATATTGGCATCTGACATCCGAACCGCCAGTCCGCTTGAATATCAATGAGTTCATTGGCGAACGAATCTTTCCTCCCGGATGTTTCCAGGCGTACATAACTTCATCGCACAGAGTATTAGGGACAGGATCTCCAAAGCGAGTGTTGTTGAAGAAGTCATAGTGGGCCCAGAAGTAAAGCGATGAGCCACTATAGGAGCCAGTTTTCGATTCAAACTGCACAAATAGTGAAGGACTGGTGCTTACGAAGTCCACCTTTTCCATTGGCCTAGAGAAGGTATCACAAAATGTCTTAATGATTCGAGCTGGATCGGCACGATCGGAATCATAGATGGTCAAAGATTCTCCACAATCTTCATCGTATTTCAATATGGGCGATTCAATGCGATTTATGCGGAAACTGTAAGGAAAGAAGAAGAAGAGGAAAAATCAATTGAATTGCAGTGTAAGGCAAAGGGTAAATTTGTTGTAGCAGCAGCAACAACAACAACAAATCTGTTATCCATGAGTTTGCAAGTTGCATATGTGTTTTTACAATTTAATCTGATTTCCTAAACCTAAAAACCTCAAACATATTACAAAACAAATGCACACACAACCACACTCGCTCAAGTATTTTTCCGTATGAACTCACAGCGAACACACAGCCTTACATACACACACATACAAAGTATGGAGAGAATAACAATGATATGCCAAAGAAATCCTTGCATATCAACCTGGCAAACAGCCAACATAATTCAAACCTGCATTCGCTTTTCATATTCACAGTTATGGGCTCAGGTAGAGTTGGAACAAACACAGCCACAACTAAAAAAAAAGAGAGGAAAAACATAATCCTGTACTTCGCTTATTTAACACTCAACTTCCACAAAAAAAAGAAATATGTTTGGAAAAGCAGTCAAAGTGACACGGCCAAAAATAACATAACTGAACGCCACATGCGGAAACACAGAGGCGTCTTAATAAAAAATATGTAGTAGAAGCAAGGAATTTTACACAAGCGGTTATTGAAAACGATCTTTGAAAAGTCGTTAATGGTCTTCAGGAATGTTTTTTGTCTACATGAATTATCAGTTAAACTGTATGGCTTTCAAATATTTAAAAATACAAAGGACCCTACATGTAAAATGAACCTGCTTTTCTGTTTTCCATGGATTCGCTCATGGCTATAGGTGATTCCTTTACATGGCCTTATCTATAGCAAAAATACTTTCTCTTTCTCGCATTTTGAGAATTCTGGAAACGGTCCTTATTTTATTCCCTTTATATTTCCCCTTTCGCTAAATTACCGACAAACTCCCCCTGCCTTCTACGTTTCTGCCTCTCTTCACATATTCATGTTTACCAGGAATATCTAAAAACAACACAACCAAAAAAAGAGCAAAACAGAAAAAAATTGGAAAATAGAATTTTCCAAAAATTGTATAACTCCTAAGCTTTCCTCACTTCGTCATGTTGTTGAGCTTATAGTAAATCTTCACCGTATACCTTTTGAAGACACTCACAGACGAACCTGTACAGGAAATATACACACAAATACCACCACCACATATGTATGTCTCGAACAAGATGAATGCCGAGCAACCATAAACATAAGGCTAAGGTGATCATTTCACTCAGCGGTTTTACAACCCGACCAAACTGAAAAAAATCCCGGCTCTTGAAACAAGTATTAGTGGATGCAGCAACCAACAACCAGGCCAATGCAAATAATGTTGGTTCTAGGAGTTGGGGGAGGAAGGCGACTCTAACGATGTTGCAGAGTTAAGAATAGGCCAAAGTTGTTTTAATGTACTAAGCCCCAGAATGGAATACTCGTAGCGGTTATAATGGCGGTAAAACTCGTTAGTTTGCCCAGTACAAATGTAATCGGTAAATGTGTCAGCTTAACTTGTTTGTACATACGAACACACACCCGTACATACATACATATATGCCTACACAACATCGTCAGGTACCTTTCTATACATTCTACAAATTCAGTTTGTATGTATGTATGTGTAATTGTTTTTATGTGTATTATTCCCATATTCATGTATGTGGATTATAAGGACATGCCGCAAGGCATTGCCGTGTCACAAGACTTTTTTTTACCACTTTTTGGTATTTGAATTTGTATTTGTAAGTGTGGGTGTGAGCTAGCGAACGAGAACGCTGACTATGCCAAGACACGTTGCATGCCATGTAGGCGACTGTTATGCACGTTCTTGCCGTAAATACAATATTTTCTTTCTATTTTTTCCAATTTTCATACAATTTTCTTTTCTTTCGTTTCGTTTCGTTTCGTTTCGGAGGGGAATAAACTGGAGCAGAAATAAAACCGAAATGAAATTGTGCTGTAACAGCATAATTTCGAATATGTTTCCCAGAACCCCCCCCCCCACTCCCTCCGTTCTTTGTGGTGGGGCACAACTTCTTCATCTTTAGATTCCACATTTTGTTTGTTGTCTATGGAAGTCCGCAACTCCGCAATCTATTCTATTTTGCCCTGAATTCAACATTTCAACAGCTTCCTTTTTTTTTCTTTCTTGGTTGGGATATTTGTAGGCGTTAGGCATGAAAATCATTTTATTAGCTTGATTTTGTTTTCACACGTATGTGCGTGTGTGTGTGCGGTGGAATACGTGCACGTACATTCATGTGAATGTATAGGTATTTGAGTTTGAGGTTTTCATATTGTTGTTTGAGTTTGAGTCTTGTTTAACGAGGGGTTGCAAGGGCAGTGTATGAAAAATAGCTGGTTCAAAAGAAGACTGCAGTTACAAACATCACATTTACATGTCGAGCCAAGTTAAGTTGCATATCTGGAATGTCCAGAAGCACCCAATAAACCTTGGGAATAAAAAGAAGCCTTTGCTTCGAAAAGTGTGTGGGGTTATTAAATCGCATTTTTTGATTTTATTACTAATTGTCAAACTACTTGTAAACGATTGCGTTGAAATAAAAATGAAAATTTGGCTAATTGACTTCGAATTAATTTCGAATTCATATTTTCCGATACTTGGCTTGAAAACTAATTGAAACCGTTATTATTAGAAATTTTCGCCTTTTTTATTAAGGCGAAGGTCCTTTGTTTGTGGACATTTGATAATTTCCTCTTTCGAGTTGAGCTTTTAATGACCCAAGATGATTATTGCTTTATTTTCTCAACCATTCTTCTTTCTTTACGCATCAATGTGACGTCATTAATTCCACTCACTCGTATTTATAAATACGATTCCGTTGGCAGTTACGAGGTATTGTGGTTTTTATGAGTAATTGTTTGGACGAATGGACGTTGTTGCAATTATGTCGGATAATGATCCCCGAAACTTCCATGTATAGATAAAGAGCTATAAATACGAGTGAGTAAAGGACAGCCAGTTCAGCATAGCATTAAATTGCGACTTGTGAGAAAAAGTAACTCCTAGTGTGGATTTTGAGACAACTCCCTTGTCAAATGTGGCAACAATCATCAAATACCGAATATCGGGAGGTACCGTTATATTAGGTATATAAGATATGGTGGACCTACATATATAAACAGATCTCTTCCAGGCTATAAAGTACTCAGAAGGAACTCTTTGTGTGGATTTTGAGAAAATTCCATTGAAAAATGTGCTTCAAATCATGAAAATACCGAATATCGGGAGGTACCGTTGTATGGGGGATATACACGATATACACCTATGTAGACAATTCTCTTTCTGGGGGAAAACTACTCAAAAGGAACTCCTGGTGTGGATTTTAAGACAAGTCCATTGTAAAATGTGGCTATAATCATCAAAGTACTGAATATGGGGAAGTGCCGTAGATGTACCGATATGGTGGACCTATATAGACAATTCTTTTCCAGAGGGCAAACTACTCGAAAGGAACTCCTGGTGTGGATTTTGAGGCAATCCCACTGAAAAATTTGGCTAGAATCATACAGATTATCGGGAGGTACCGTTATATGGGAGATATACAATATCGTGGACCCATATCGACAACTCTCTACCAGGGGGTAAATTAGTCGCAAAGAACTCCTTGTGTGGAATCTCAGACAATTCCATCAAAATACCAAATATCGGGTGGTACCGTAATATGGGGGATATGCGATATCGTAAACCGATATGGCCTTTCTTCTAACATGACCTGCCTGCACACAAAAAACTGATTTGTGAAAATTTTAGCTTCCCATCTTAATTTATTTTGACTCAAGAGTGATTACAATAGACGGACGGACGCATGAGTCTAAACCGTCCTAGAATTTTACGCTGATCAAGAATATATATATTTTGATAGGTCTACAATTATTTTGATGATTCCAAACGGAATAACGAACTTTATATACCTTCCATGTTGGAGGGTATAAAAATATAAATACTCACATGAGGTATGACAGGAGTACCCACACTTATTATTCCACCTCCCACTTATAAGACACAACTTCCCATTGAATGCATTTCCCAGCGACCCAGTGAGTGACTTTGTCTGGGACTTCATATATTTTAAGGTGAATGAATACGAATATTCTGTTTATGTCCTTGTGTGTGTAGGTTATTACAGAGACACATACATACAGGCACATCCACATAGATACAGAGCGAAAATGTCTTTTGCGCATAGAGACCTTATAATAAAATATTTTGTCATATTTTATTAGTCAAGCCCAAATGTAATTGTATCCAATTTTGTGATTATGTAGTCTTATATGTTTTTTTTTTTTACTTTTTTCTTTGGTCTTGCTTCCTTCTTTTTTTCTTCTTCTTCTCATTTTACGGCAGTTATTCAACAATTTTGTTATTACTGCACACAAAAATTTACAAATAAAAATTGAGGCTTTTCAATGTGACACACGGGGGCCACGAGCCTGGCTGAATGTGTGTGGTATGAGCTGCATATATACATGTGTGTGTGTATTTGTTTCCAACAAATACGTGAATTGTTTAAAGAGGTCTGGAAAGTTTTCTATTGAGAGGATATGTGGCAGTTAAATAGCAAATACTGCAACACTGTTATGGTCCTGTGCTCTCTGTCTGTCTATCTGTTTGTCTCACCAAGTAAACGAGTCGAGTAGAGTCGAATTGAGCCGACCTGAACATTTCACAGTCGATATTACTTTTTGAGGCTTTTTTATGATATGCAGAGTTTCGTTTATGTCTCTTCATCTCTTTGTGCCGTTTGTGAGCCATTCATCCCATTTTTATTATTATTACGATTATGACTTTTTTTCCAGTCCTCTTAGCTTGCTTTTTTTGCTGTTGTTGTTATTGTTCGAATTTTGCACAAAAAAGCGAAAAATGTAATTGAAAAAGTTTTTCTATTAATTTTATTAAATTCCATTTTATCAAAGAGGGGATTTATGCTAGAACATCGTGTGATATGTGTGTCACACGCTTACATGTCGGCTTGTTTGGTTGTGTGCGTGTGTGT